ATATTTATATTTTATATATAATGGTTTCTTAAGTAATCCCCAAGAATAAAGATATTTTCTCCATGTCTCCATTTTTTCTGAGTCCTGATGAAAATCAATTTAAAAGACTGTTTGTAAAATTCATTACAGGCTAGAAATTTCTTTTCATATACTTAGGCATTTGGAACAGATGCACTTCACTCTGTAAAAATGTCTGCCTCAGAGAGTTTTGGCTGCTATAACAAATTGATATAGACCAGATTGTTTCTAAACAACAGAAGTTTATTTCTCACAGATTCAGAGGCTTGGAAATCTGAGATCAGGGTGTTAGCATGATCAGTGTCTGGTGAGGATTCACTTCTGAACTGCAAACTGAAAAGTTCCCCATGTTAACTTTACCAGAGAGAAGAGAGGGAAATAGAGCTTTCTTGTGACACATATAGGGGGACAATTCCCATTTGTTAGTTCTCCAATTTTATGACCTCATATAAACCTACCTATCTTTCAAAGACCCCACTTTCTAATACCAGCACCTTCCAGGACATGGTTTTAGCATATGAACTGAGGATAGGGATGGAACATCACCATTCAGTCTATAACACTAGAGTTTTACGAGATTCCAGTAAATACTTAAAGGTGAGTGATTTTGGAGACTCTCAAGTGAATAGCCAGTTAATGTATAAAATGGTGTCCAGTGAACCCACTAACCTTTAAGGTAATGTATGAAGTGATATTATTTCTTGGGCACTTTTCCTTTATAATCAACTTGCTGATCTTTTTGAAAGTGGTTTTTCCAGTTAGCGGGGGGCGGGGGACAGAAAGAGTAGAGCATAGAAAGAAATGCTTATCTGAGGTCCTCACTCTGGCCTCCTTGTGGGTTATTTTCCCGTTTTACTAGGTTATGTGCTACCCAGAACTACAGTAGACTCTTTGGATTATGGGGTAATCAGAATATGAGAAAGGCTGAGGCAATCACAAAAGTGCTAATCTTGACTCTCAAACCTTTTGTTTTAAAGGAAAAATAAGTCCCTGTATTTACATCAAAATTTGCTCTTCCTCTACCAGCAATAGAACTTGCTCCTAATAGAGACTGTAGCCATCACTGAGGAAATCTGGGCTT